AACCATGAGAATCATTTTTTGAACAATCTTATCAGTTTTTCAAGAGTGCAAGTTTTATAATTTTCGACCGCTCTCTTTCAAAAAGTTCCCGGAACACCGGATTTCAATCGATTTCGCTGAAACTTTGCGACCAATAAATCATCTCAAAAACAGAATTTTGATATCTTGTCTCGTTTTAAAGTTATTTCATGATTTATGAGTAAAAGAGGAAAAAATCATGTCAATCAACTTTGACAACAAATATTTCCACAACAAATGCCTTTCTGAGACCCCTATTCATTTTAAAATGACTTCTCATACTCATTAATTATTCTGGAGGTTATTTGTTTAGGATTGCAAGACTTAAGGGACAGATATGTCTCTGAACTGAATTGATTTTGATCCAGTCCAAGGACTATGTAGAACAAAATTAATTCAGTCCTTTCACAGTACTTTACAAGGTTTCAAGTAACATCATGTTACCCAAAAAATAGCCCATTGATTGGCTGGTTTACTTCATGCATTATTAATGAGTATGAGAAAGGACATTCCAAAACCCAAGGACATGCAGCACGGGTCTACAAAATTTCATTTCATTTTGTTTTCAAGCTGGCTATGGCAATTTCACTGCAAGGCTGGTTATTGGACAATGTCTGACGGGAATTGGAACTTGAATGGTTAAATGTTTGCCTTGCTGGTCATTTTGATCACAAATGTTGAGCCAGCTAGAATTTAATATTCTCATCAAGGACACAAAGATTAATTGTTGAGATATTCAGTGTTGCTTATTAGTCGACGTAGTAACAATCAGGGTCAAATTACCAATCTCATACAGCCCAGGTTTCTGATTGGTTCCACTACCCAAAGTTGAAATGAATTTGTTTTCATTGCACAATTTTAATTGGTTCTCTTGTTTAACTGGTCTATTAGTGGTCCCCGTTACAGTTATTGCACTGTCAAAAGGTTTTCTTATCAACTTGTTTAATATGATAGTCGTAAAGAAAGAAAACACCATGAAGCACCATAAGCAACAAAACACCTACATATGAATAGGTGTGGAGGATTAAATGCACAAATGGATATCTTTTTTCACTGC